CTGCTGAACAAGATAAGGCAAAAGTCAAATTGTTGACCTAATTTCTACAAGGTAATGGATTGAAATATTTGTTTAATTTGGGTCTCTAAACAATAAAACCTCACTAAATCAAATTTTATAAATTGTGATGAGTGTCAGGCCCAGGAAGAGGTTAATTTTGTTGCTAAAGAAATTATTAAGAAAGCACAAATTAAAATTTTATAGAAATACTATAATAAATCATTTTTATTCACTAAAGTAGGGCTGATAGGGCCTCTACTAAAAAGAAGTATATAAAGTATAAAATATATATCAGTTTAAGAGGAAGTGCCTTCTTTTTCTATTTGTTTTAGGTCTTATTCTTCAAAAAGTCATGATTCTTTCAAGAGCCCTGAGAGAGACAGAGGCTCAGGTGCCAGAATTTTCAAATGTGCCTTTATTTCACTAGCAAAATAAAGCAGCACAGAAGAGGCAGAGCCCAGAGTTTAAGACAAGAGGAAGGAAAGACACAGGAAAGCTCTCTACTTGGAAGTATAGTTGGTCAGTAAGTCACTCAACACTCACTGAGCTTCCACAACTGTGTTAGGAGAACAGCTCTCCCATATTTAAAAAATGCTGTTATTCACCATGCCTCTCAGTTAAATATAGATAAGACTAATGAGAATTGGCACTAAATGTTTATAATGTAGCAAGATTCTTTTGTTTTCAGTGACTTTGATTTTAAGACATTTCAGCTTAACAATGTGGCAAAGGCACTAGAAATATAAATTCAATGTATTCTATAGCCTTCTTCCCTCAATTTACATTTTTCTAATTTATTCTTCAAATTCTCAAACTACTCATCCTTTCGCCCCACTAGTCCTTAAAGCCAGGAAAAGCAAAGGATTTTAGGGTAGGCCTTTATCTCTAGAGTTGTGAAAACCAAACTATTCCTTCCTCATGCTATTGTTATTCATTATAGGTCTGTTTTTTATCATGTTTCCCTCCCCCCCCACAGTTTCTGACTAATTTCCAAATGTTTAATCTTGTTTTTACGCTATCAATTCCTTGATAAATTAAAGTCCATTCCAAATACTGGAAAAGCAATTATCAAATATTTTTGCTAAAACCACAACATTTTAGAGCAAGAAAAGATGTTAATATCATTCTATGAGGTAGCATAGTAACTCACCCAAAGTCATACTCAATTAAAGTCTGAGAACCACTCTTAAAGACAGTAGCCTCTTCCAATACTTAAGAACTACAACGATAATCTTTTGCCTTGATGGCAAGAAAATATGGCTATTATGATTTGTTAGTGACTTCAAAGAGCAAATTTCAGCAATGAAATTGTCACTCTTGTTGCATCACAGAAAATGCATACCAATAAGCCCAAATTGAGGCTGTCTACATTGTATTCCTTTGTCTTTTAAATACTAAAGTAAATGAATACTTACCTTTCTTGTGTTCTTTCCAGAAACCTTTTAAGAAAAAAAATTTAAACTGTTCTTACCCACCATAATAAAAATAACTCTCTATATTATACCTTTTGTTTCTGAATTGGTGATAATTTTAAAGACTTTTCATTGGAATTTAGGCTCATCATATGTGTCTGAAATAAATAAAAAAAAGCATATGTTCTAAAAATAATAAAGACTATATATATGATTACATATTTATACATCCTAAAATATATGTAAATACAAAACAGTAATATCAATTCTCAATTGCATACTTATGATGTGAAGATCTAAATGACTTTTATTGTATGTAACCTACACCTCAATAAAGTTGATTTAAAAACAAAATGAAACCAAAACAAAAAGCTTTCTATGCATATAACAGTATAGGAAGTATACAAATACACAGACACACAAAAATACATAATGAACCAAAAATCAAACTTATATCTAGATACATAAATAAGAAAACCATTACCATATTTAAGACATCAGTAGTTTCTCCAAGGCTTTCTGAATCTACTGTTGAAGAACTGTCTGCCTCT